GTGTGTGTGTGTGTGTGTGTGTGTGTGTGTGTGTGTGTGTGTGTGCATTGGCCTGTACTGAGCTTCACACATTCCGTGAGTGCACTGGCCTTGTAAATCCTTGTTTCTAGCTGATTATAACTTAGCTAGTGACCAATGAACTCAACAAGCTTTCAGTTTCACTGTGACAACCCTTACGGCAGGATATCAGTTAATGGGTCTTGTTTGAGTAGTTTCTGAGTTAATCACTTCGTTAATGTGTTAAAGATTTAACACCACCACCTTTTGTTCGGATTGAGTGTGTAGTAAGTTGTAACAGGTTTCTTGCCCAACGACGGCCCACCGTCTATGTTTAGGTGTGTATGAGCTGAGAACCTCAGCCGTCGCATGAGAGACTACACTGTAGATCTCCTTCCCCACCTCTTATCTTGACTTGTGCAGTGATTGAAGTGCTGCTTACACCCGCAAATAAGTACCATTCACTGCGTTTATGCGATCAATATATGCACTGCTCATGCTTTGCAAGTAGTGCACTGTTCATCCGTGCAAGGTGCTGCTTGCAAAACACCGCTATAGCACGGCGTACTGCTGTTGACAAAGCGCCACTCTATCGCACCGTACTGATGCGTGCTGCCCACCACTGGTAGATGCGGCCCATGAAGGAGCTCTGTCTATAAAGTCGTGCCTCCTTGCAATTGCGTTAGACATTGTATTGTAGCCGTCGATCAGGTTTGACGATGGGCAAGGGGGGGGACTTACATCGCTCACAGGTCGTCTTCGGCATTGAGAAGACGGCATGGGCAGGCACGAAGGTTCCACTGTTTGTCTGTGGACGTTGGTTTCTTTGCATAGTGATCCTTCAGATCTTGTTTTTGCATGGGAAGTGGTCGGGACTAGTTTGGAAGGCGCAGAGGACAGCAGCGACGGTGTCATCGGACGAGACTTCAGAAGGTATACAGAGAAGAGACCGAAGGCTGACGGAAGATGCATTGATACAAGCACTTGTGCCTCGTGCCACTATCGAGGCCAAGGCGCGTGAAGGGCCCAACTCGACACCACGTCATCGTGAAGCGGCTGACGTCAGAACGGCAAACATAAGTATAAACCTGTCCCGACCCAGCAATGAGACAGCTGAAGGGAAAATGTCGGAAGCTACGAGCGGTAATACGAGTGATTCAGAACTGGAAAGAAGCAAGCATACTCGTCAATCCGCCTCCTTGGACGTGGACTCCTTGGGCGGAGGTAAGGGCGTGGACTCCTTGGGCGGAGGTAAGGGCGTGGACTCCTTGGGCGGAGATAAGGGCGTGGACTCCTTGGGCGGAGGTAAGGGCGTGGACTCCTTGGGTGGCGGCAAGGGCCCTTTCGCCTGCCGGAGCAGGAAGGAAGTGGTCCAGTTCTTGCGGTACGGAACCAACCTGACGTTGCATGAGGATTTTGAGGAGATCTTGAGGAAGTATGAGGTGTACCACAAATCGTGTGTCGCAGGCGTGGATCTGCTGAGTAGTTTCGGCCAGGCAGAGAAGGGCGAGGACCCCCCGAATCCACCATCCGGGGGTCAGAATAGCAGCGTAGATCTGAGTCATTGCTCTTACCTGTTCTGGGTCTCTCCATGGGAGGGACTCGGAAATCGTTTCGCATCCATCGCGTCCAGCTTCCTGTATGCCATTTTGACGTGGAGGGTTCTTCTGGTTGATCGGAGGTCTGGCCTGGGGGATTTGATATGTGAACCATTTGCAGGTCATTCGTGGCTGGCACCCGATGACCCGGGCCTGGCATGGCGGATTCTGCAAGCGCCCTGCCCCCGAGCTGTGGCGAATGCAACTGTGATTGCCGGGAATTGGTCGACGGCGCTGGCAAACGGATCGGAAGTGGGACAGCAGCCCGAGGGGCGTGGCATTGCCGGTGCATCTGCACCTCCCAAGATGGCGATGGCGTATATTTACCACGAGGAGAAATACCACGAGGGTCATATGTCATTCTTCTGTTCACGCGAGCAGAGAAGCCTGTCGGATGTAAGGTGGTTGGGTGTGTACAGCAACCAGTACTTCACCCCTGGGTTGTTTGTGATTCCACAGTTCAGGGCCAGATTGGAACGCTGGTTTCCAGACCGAATTGTGTACACACGATTGGCTCGCCACTTGTTCCTGCCGATAGATAGGGTTTGGGAGCGGATCACCTCCACTCATAAACTCTATCTCTCAAAGACGCAAAGGCTTGTGGGTGTCCAGCCGCGCACTCTCTTCGACTCCATGGTCCCGGGCCAAGTTGCAGGGATGCTCGACTGCCTGGTTAACGGGGGTGTGCTGCCGAAGCCCGGCGTTTCTGCAAAGTTCACGGAAAAGGGTGTCGTTGTGGAGTTTCCGGACGAGAAGGGGAAAGTAGGCGACGGCGAGACTGTGCTGTTCGAAGCCGGCGTACGGAGAAACTCTGACACGCATACCCGGAGGGAAGGAGCGGCGCGGAACACCACCCAAGATGGGGGCGATGTGACGGTGTTTGTAGCTTCGCTTCGCGACGACTTCTACAAGGCGCTGAAAAATGTGTACTCGTGGAGACCCACTGTGACCGGGCAGAAGGTTTTTGTGCACCAGGAGAACATGGAAGCCGTGCAGAACTCTTTCAATCGTGAGCACGAGGAATCTGCGGTGGTAGATATCTGGCTTCTGAGCTTCAGTGATGAACTGTACACCAACCCTTTCTCGACGTTCGGGTACATGGCCCATGCTCTGGCGGCCTTGCCGATTCAGCATGGCCTCGAAAACTACTGGAACGCCGGTATGAATGGCAAATCGAAGGCGTGTTTTACTTGGCCGAATAGAGAACCATGCTATCACATTCCGCCGGCGAATGACAACGGATGGAAGTGTCTTGATGATGCGCATGAAGCTATAAAGGAGCGACTGTACAGTACGCAACCTGATAGGCAGTTTGACAAGTGTCGAGACTATGGGAAAGGCTTACAATTGAGGACTCCTTGATGCCAACAAGCCACATGAGGTAATGTCGTTGTGTCCGGCCTTTATAACCGACTGACCCTTGTAGCATGGCTTTTGCTTGTGCCCTTAGCAGCAAGGGTACCGCTAGATCTTGTCCCTGCGGTCCTACACATCGAGGCGCAGGGTAAAACCAGAACTCACTGGTTCCACCATTTTATACCGTCCTTTTCCGCATTGCTTTCGAATGTGCTCTTAGCAAGCAAGGGTGGCACCCACCGAAGGGACAACTACAACTTGTCCCACCCATCAAGGCACACGAAACCCACCAGAACAACCCGAAGCACCACTCTGAGCTTCAAGGCCTGTACGACCGGGGGAATCGCTGCGCAAACCCTGTGACGCTTTTTTTTTTTTTTTTTTTTCCACTCAGCCCTCTTTGGTGCTGGTAAACATGCGGTACTGCCTGCACTTCCACGGACGACCTTTGTTCAAGGGATGGGAAGGGAATGGCTTGAGTGAGGGATAGGCTGTGTCTGGGCGTTGAATAACAAGAAGCGTGTATGTTGGTCGAGGGGAGAATGGAGAGCTACTAACAGTAGAGGCATGTATGTGTAGTTGTTGCTCTTCGAGCGTTTTTCGGAGTCATGTTGTGCAGCCTTGAGGTATTCCCGACCGCTGAAAGTTAATTTATCCGATCTGCGACAAGAGATTTCATCAAATTCTTTGGATTTATTTTCCATTGATGTAGATTCCATATTAGGGGAAAAAAAATTAAAAAAGAATCAACCTCCCTCCCGTTACCCTACTCCACCGCGACTCTGTCTCCAGGTGATCATCCTAAGCTCACCCCTATCATTCTTTCTTTGTCTCAAGCACTCTCCTTTCTACCTTGTATACAACAGAAATCATCAAACTCCACCTTGTATTCTACAGCGCTCAGCGCTCTAATTCTGTAGTCTCTCTCGTCCTCCTGCCGCTACCGTCATTCCCCGAATTGGAAGTATGGTCATTGTTTAGCTTCTGCTACCGCCGGTCCCCAAATAGAAGGCATGGGCATTCAATTTGTAGCTGTATCTGGGGCCCAACTTTCAGGCTATTAGATTGAGCGATAATGTCTGTACGTTCTACTCGGGGGAAGATGGTAGTTACTTCCACTTCCGCTTATGCTTTTGCAAAATTGCCCCCCTTCTCAAGACTCAAAATTCTTATTTTATCCTAGAGGGATCTCTCGGGCTTGTCCCCCCCCCCCCCTTTGCGCCCTTTTCCACCCTTCCTCTGCATGTGCTGCTTTTGCATCTCAGAAGACTCACATTCTTATCTGTGTTTTTGTGTGTTTTTTTAAGGAATCTCCCTGCCTCATCATTATTGTCTTCATGGCCATCATCAGCATCCTCCTGTTCCTCCTCCTTCAACATGCATCCCCTTAATTGTTGTGAGAAGTAGCTATGCTTGCAGGGGTCCCCTGTATAGCCTTAGGAGAAGTGGTCGGTAGATAGTGAAAGGTGAAATTGAGAGAAAAAAATACCGTGTTTACAAAAAAAAAAAAAAAAAAAAAAAAAAGCAACTGTGCCTCCCTTTTAAAAATTGTAAGTGCAGTGTGCACAGGAAAAATAATTTGGTGCCACATGGTACTCATTGGATTGTCTCTTTTCCCCCCTTCTCTCCTCCATTTGTGCTTCTTTTTCCCTCCCCCTTTTTTTTTTTCTGCTCGTCTTTATGCCCCACGGGAACGATATTCTTCCCAAACCTCGTTTGCCAATCATTAGGCGAACGGTTCTACCCGACAAGACCAGCCGTTAATCTGCCCCTTCCCTTTTTTTTGTGTTCTAAATTTTGATCTTTTTTTTTTTTTTTTTTTTTTAGTTTTTTTTTTGAAACGACCGTTGTGTGCCTGCAACAGCTGGGGATACAAGCCCTCAGCTGCTGCAGGAGGCAGTCGTGGCAAACTTCATTCTTTCTGTGGTGAGCATGTGGTCCTTCTCAGTGTGATGAGCTCTTTGGGGGGCCTCTTTTTCCAGGTGCAACCACTGTTTTTGGCATTCGCTACATGCTGCACTTGCCCCCTTTTTTTTTCCTTTTTCTTTTTTTCTCTCCTTTGCTTTTCTTTTCCCCCTTGAGCATTCCATACACTCCATGCGATAGGCATCACCGCTTTTCGCTTGAAGTGGTCGTATGTTTTGGATTTTTAAAAGTTTTTTTTATTTTTAGTCATTCAATGTGTCTGAACGATTGTGCCTGGCGTGTGTGGCAAGCTGCCAAGGTTAGCCTGTTTGTAACTTTGTAGTGAATATTATTAACTAGCGGTGCATTCTCTGAAGAGGGGGGGGGGAGGTTAGAGTGAGAAAGGGGCTTAAATGCAGATTGCTAGACTTGGAGGGACGGACACGATATTTGTCAACTCTAAAACAGGAAGGTGAAGCGTTGGAGGGACAGACTGGAAATTTAGTGCTGGAGGGCGTTCTCTGTGGGGTTCTCTGAGAGTGAGAGAGGGACTTAAAAACCGCCAGTGCTTCCTAAAGCCACGGCAGTTAACAAGCGACGACAATGATGAACGAGAGGGCCCCTACATTTGTCCGCGGTTCATCCGTGTAGAAGCGCTTGTACTCTAATTTTTCCCGTCGCCGATGTATGGGCCAGTACTGGTGGTTGAAAACCACCACGGCCGGACCAAAATGGCTGACGATGCCAGCCCAAGAAGAAAAGATAAAACGGAAAATGGCTTCCGGCAAAGCTCGGTGAGCAGGCGGAATCTGGCCCGGCAAAAAGAGCATCAGAAGTGGTGGTTGTTTGGATGCAAATGGCCAGAGGCTTGGACGGATGGACACTGTGTTTGTCAACTTGAGAACAGGGAGGTGAAGTCTTGGAGGGGCAGACTTGAAATTTACTGGCAGAGGGGGACAGACTTGAAATTTACTGGCAGAGGGCTTAGAAAAGGTAGATCCCTGGATTGTAGGAGTGATATGAACTCCACATGTACTCCACTGCACTGGTGGTAGACTCTCTCGGTACCACTAGCAAGGCTTTAGAGGTGTAGCGGAGCTGTCTACCGCTGTATACCATCCGAGAAACTGTCCAGGTGTGTCTAATCTCTAGCGAGAGGTCGCATTGCAGACAGGTTTGAACCTGCAGTAACATCGCTTTCCCGCCGACTTGTGCCCAGCGCGAAGTCTCCGAAGCCGTGAATGCCCTGGAGTGCGTTGGAGTGCGTTGTGGTCGTTATTACGCGATGAGCATCAGGTTGAAAAGAGTCCGAACAGAAGGGGCCCTGGAGGACCAGATGCATATGCATGCACGAGGTAAAATACGGGGACGACGTGTGGGTACTACCTAGGGGTAATTAACCTGAGCGCAGAGAACCGATCGTCCCAAGTATTGATTCTGCAGCACTTACACTTGATGCCTCTTTCGCTGCGGCAGTTCTGCGGTGCCTGCGGTCGTTTGTCTTCTCCGTGACCGGACTTTATGCGCACCCATCCTGGGTCTACAACGTAGGTCTACTCGTGTGCGCCTGCAGAGTGGTGGATGACTTGTGGGTACTAGGTGTAATTTACCATAGAGCGCAGAGAATCGATCGTCCCGAGTATTGATTCTGCAGCACTTACACTCCATGCCTTTCGCACTGGCAGATCGCAGTGCCTGCGGCCGTTCGTCTTCTGACTCTTCTCCGTGACCGGACTTTATGTGCTCCCATCCTGGGTGTACGACGTAGGTCTACTCGTTCGCCCCTGCAGAGTGGTGAAATACCCCTCTTGATTGTTGAAACGGAGCACAGGCAAGGGTTGGAATTCACCAGGGGTACTCTGATTTTTTGGTATCTGCGTGGGACTCGACTTCTTCAGGCCACTGCAAGGGTGCACTTCCTGCGCACAGGAATATTTGAATTTTTAATTTTGAACAATTTTCAGTTACATTCTGCCCTCCGATGAGAGGCTGGCAGTGCTGCAGCTTGGCTTGCTCACTGCAATTGAGAGAGCCACCAGTTGGGGGACTTAACGCGATTGGAGAGGCGATGGTTGATGTTCCCGAAGAGTGAGGATGGGTGACCGTTGGTTGTGATCTTGGGGTAAATTGAAAGCCAAATGTTTCAGCACCCACACAGTTAATACCCCAGAGAGCCTGGGGTAATTAGCCGCCACAACGCGATGATCTCGATAACGAGTGTTTTTCTGATTGTATAAGGGACGCTGGACCCGTTTTCCAGCAGGTGCAGCTCCCCACCAATAGAATGGAGCAGCTGGAGGCTACTACTAGTGGGGGCTGCTGCTCGTATCGCCCCTTCTAGTAGACAGCCAAGGCCTTCCCTCGAAAGGAGGAGTAGAGGAGGAGGAGGAGGAGGAGGAGGAGGAGAATAGTTGGCCCAAGTGGTTCCTTGTCCGATTCGCATCCACTGTATGCTTGATACAGTGGATGACACTCATAGGTTGTGGTCATTGGGTGAATTGAAACTTCAATAATTCGTAATTGTTTTGGTTGGGCTTTCGCGCTGAACGAGGGCAAGGGTTTTGGGGCCGTACGTTCCCGCTGCCGCACCGCAGCGCTACCGCGCCGCTGCGTGCGCCGCCCCCACACGGCGTTCGAGCACTGGGGGATCGCGCTGCTAGGTTGACGTTACCAGTCAGCCTGCGATGCCAGAACCTGTCGTCGGTGTGGCTATGACGTGGCCGGGTGGTGCGCACGGGCGCAGGAGGTAGTGCGTCGAGGAGGCTTTGACCGGCATCTGACCACACCACAACTGGTTTCGGTTGATGAAAGTTGGTAATCTCGCCAAGGAGGGAGTGATGAAGATGTGTGGGCGGCTGGCGGGCGAAATTTGGACGTCGCACCAAACCGTTGGGCTTGGCTTGATCAGGAGGCTCTGCCTCCTGGTCTTCGATACGGAGGCGTGGTGGAAGCTGCTGTTCCGAGCTCTATGAGCCAGCCGGGATTGGCCCGCTGCAATTTTGTTTTCATTGTTTTGTCACGGGGGTGTCTTCTCTTGCATGGCGGGAGCACACTGGAATTTGAAGATGACTTCCGGCTGGACAGCGCGAGATTTCAATGGAGGCTTTCAGCAGGAGTGCTCATGGGCTTTGCAGACCGGGTGTGCTTACATGATGTGGCCCGTGTTAGGGTTTGGATGTGTGTGTGTGTG